ACCAAGGGGGCCAAGCATCTCTTGGGTCAATTACCGGGTCTACTGAGCGAGAAAACTCATTCATTTTCGGTGCAGGCACCACTTCCGTCACACATCTGTCGAACCTCTGTCAAACGACGACGTCAACATGGACTCGGAGAAGGCCGCCTTGATGGGCGCCGATGACCATGGCGGAGATGTTCCTCAGACGCGCCGCCACCGCTGCCGTGGCCGTCGGGGCCCTCCTCCATGGCCTGTGAGGCTCGCCGTCTTGTCGGTTGCGGGCTTCGCAATCTACAATTGCTCCCGACTCATGTCGAAGCCTATCCCACCGGCGTCCGACCCATCCGACCCATCCGACTCATCCACGGAGACATGCTTGACGCCGGCTTGCATTCACGCCTCATCCGAGATTTTGTACAATCTCTCGCCCAAGTACAAGGAGCTCGACCCCTGCACCGACTTTGAGGAGCTCGTTTGCGGCGGCTGGAGGGAGCGCCATGACTTGCGTCCCGACCAGGGTTCTGCCTTCACGGGCACCATCATGGCCGAGAACTCACAACTCCTGCTCCGCCACATTCTAGAGGCTCCGTACCCCAAGTCTTCCAAGCACAGCTTCTTCTCCCCAATGCAGCTTGCTGCGACCAGCCACTCGGTTGATGAGGACAACTTTGAGAAGATGACGGCGGCCTACAACGCTTGCCTTAACGAGGACACCATCAAGGATCTTGGCATTGCACCTCTCTCCAAGATCATCGACGAGATCAAGGCCTCGTACCCCCTGACCGCTGCCTCCGACGATGCCCTGAGCAACACGATTCTGCTCCTCGCCAAGTACGGCATCTCTGCTTTGGTCTCCCCTGGAGCTGGCGCGGATGATACGAACCCTGACGTTGTGGTCGTTCAAGTTGGAGCCCCTTGGAGAATTGGCCTGCCGTCCAAGGAGCGCTACGAGGATGACGCCCTTGTGAAGAAGTACGAGGGTGTGGTGGTCGATGTTCTCTCGCAGTTGGCTCCAGACGAGGACAAGGACGTTTTCGCCAGCGTCGTGGAGTTGGAGAAGAAGCTCGCTGCTGCATCTCCAAGCACCCAAGAGCGCGAGGATGTTACGGTAGGTTATTTTTGTCCTTTTTCAGGTGCAATCAGCTGACTCTGCCAGAAAACGTACAACCCCATGTCCTTGAAGGAAGCATCAGACCTTACGCCCAAGATCGGTCTCGCCAACATCGTCTCCAGTCTCTCTCCCTCTGACTTTAAGGTGGACCGCGTTATCGTTGCTGCGCCCAAGTACTTGAAGGAGCTGGAGGGTATCATTGAGAAGTTTGACCCAGCCGTCCTGCAGAGCTACTTCATCTGGAAGGCAGTCCAGTCGCTGCATTCCTACATCGAGTCACCCGTCGTTCAGCCATACAAGGGTTTCGTCAACGAACTCGCCGGAAAGGACCCCAATACCAAGCCCGAGCGATGGAGGACCTGTGTCGACCACGTCGATGATAGCGTTGGGTGGATTCTCTCCCGTTTCTTCGTCGAGAAGGCCTTCTCCGCAGCAGCCAAGGACTTTGGAGATCTCATCATCATGGACATCAAGCGCGAGTTCATCAAGAAGCTCAAAGCCACCGAGTGGATGGACGACGAGACAACCGACAAGGCCATCGAGAAGGTCCACAAGATTGTCCAGAAGATTGGCTACCCTACCGAGAGCCCCAATATCATGGACCCTGAGAGCCTGGCGTCTTACTACAAGAAGCTGTCGATCAACTCCAAGACTTTCTTCGACAACGTTGTGGCCACCAGAGCGTTCGAAGTTGAGGATGAATGGTCCGCTCTAGGAAAGCCCGTCGATCGTGGCCGTTGGGTATGTCCACTTGCTGCTATCCCCTGCGCCTTTGCCCCCGTTCCCCTGCTGTCTTCGGGGGAGAACGGTGTGCCTCTCTGGAATCTTAAGAATACTAAGCTAAGCCTAACCCTGAAAAAGAGTCTCTCATCTTCGACCGTTAACGCCTATTATAATCCATCAGGCGGCGAGATTGTTGTAAGTTTTCATCTGGAGCAAGAAATCATATTTATGGAGCTTTTCTTCTTTTTTCTTCATTTTTTGCCGATTTCTTTGGTTTCCTTTTTTTCCCCTTTCCTTTCCTTCCTCCTATGACGAGGACACATCTGACATCATCGCAGTTCCCCGCTGGCATCATGCAGTTCCCTGTATTTGACGTCAATGTCCCTGCCTACGTCTCCTACGGCGCTTTCGGCTCCGTCGCCGGCCACGAGCTCTCACACGCTTTCGACTCAACCGGCCGTCACTACGATCAGTATGGTAACTACACCGACTGGTGGAGCAACTCGACGGTCAAGGCCTTTGAGGAGCGTGCCCAGTGCTTCATCGACCAGTACTCCAACTACACTGTCCCCGGGCCTGACAAGAAGCCCCTTCACGTCAATGGCCGCCTGACCCTTGGCGAGAATATCGCTGACGCTGGTGGGTTGTCGGCATCTTTTCAAGCTTGGACTCGCCGCGCCAAGGAGAAGCCCAACGCCCACCTGCCCGGTCTGGAGCATTTCACCCAGGAGCAGCTCTTCTTTGTTTCTTATTCCAACTGGTGGTGTGGCAAGTCGCGGAATGACGAAGCTATCAACCGCATCTACACTGACCCCCACTCGCCGAAGTGGGCGCGCATCTTGGGCACGATGTCCAATAGCCGCGAATTCAGGGAGAGCTTCCAGTGTGAGAGCAAGAAGCCCACGTGCGAACTTTGGTAGGTAAACTCTGGCTGAAGCGGTGTGCTCGATGAGTGCTATTCCAAGGATACATCATATTCAGGTACAAGAGTATTTTCCTTTTCATTTGCTCGGCTGGGTCTTTGTACACTACACACACAACATTCCTTCGCGTTTCATATGTATTACCAATAACAAGACTATCGAGTCGCAATGTCGGCCTTGACTCTGACCCCGTGCACGCCCTTGAAGGCTGTCAGATGCCCTGCAGGAACCTTTAAAGCCCAGTATCGATGAAGTAAAGGACTGTATTAGCTGTGCAAAGGCCTTGCCCGGTGAAGCAAACGTCCATGTTGTCATGTGAGGAGCGCTCGGTGGCTTTGCGTAAGGCCGCTGGTGAAGCTTTGAAAGGGCGTACGGGACAACAGTAATGGCTAATATTACACGTCAATACCGTGTAGGCAGACCCTTGCGCAGAGCACGTGGCCCACGTGTTGACCTCCCTATGTTGCTCATCATCCATTGTCTTTGAGTCCAGTCCCCACACTCCTTTCAGCCCCCAATCAGTGCGTCGAGGTAGATCATCTTCGGCCCTGTGCGCCTCGCCAAGGATTTCCAAACAATCGAAACAATGCTGTTCTTTGTTGCAACCTTCGATGGGTCGTCAAATATCAGATTGTTTATGAGACCATCAGCGAGTTTCGGCCCCAACACCAGGCCCAGGTGGACATCTCGGGCCTGCACGGTTCTGGCAACATTTGTTATGCTGTCGGGCTTCAGATTTGCACTGGGCACGCCGCCAGTTTGCGAGGAGACATGATAATGCCAGGATGGATACATTATCACTGACGTACGTGAGTGATGGAAGGACATATAAGAGGCTCTATTCCCAGACTGCAAATCCACAACTGGAAGCTTGCAAGACAATACAGCAACAGATTCACAGCTGAGCCTATCACATCCTTATTTTCACTCCCCAAGCCACCGCTTCTGTCCTGCCTTCAGCCTACGCTCGACTTTGAACATGAGCCGCACGATCTACCAGGTTCTCGACCCGGATGGGGGCTCAGAGACACAACAGTACGATCCAGTCAAGTATCGTCCTTTCAACTCGCCAGAGCCAAAGCCCAAATCTCCTTCCAAGATCTCTTACACTATCAACGTGGTTAAGGTACGGCCTATTGTCCATTTCTCTCTTGTGCGAACCTTACTGAAACCATGGCGTATAGAAGGTGCTGCGGTACTTGGATAAAGAGGCCGGACGACGATTCCGATCTCCCAAGTTAGGTAAATCAAGTGCTTCGACGGGAGGCCCCCCTGAATTCAGCCCCACCTGTGAGACTTCACGGTGCTCGTGTGGCAGGGGATCGAGAACCGACTCATATCACCAAGGAGGCGGATCTGGCTCGTCAAGCCCAGCTGTGTCGAGTATCAGCCAGTTCGCGTTGGATGAGAACACTCCAGGGAGCCCTTCTGCCACTGAAGACGGCATCGCGGACTTGGACAAGGACGATTGCAGCTCGCTGCTTTCTTTTGTAAGTGCTGCATCACCCCTTTTTTGCCCATCCATTTTCCCCTTTTCTCGTCCACTAACACCCTTCTTCCAAGGAGTCCTGTTACTCCCTCCCCGGGCTCACACCGGAGCACCTCGATCCCAAGGACATGAGAACCCCTTACTCCTTGAAATTCCGCTATATACGCGCCTCGTACGTCTACTACCAAGCCCGCGAAGCTCTCCCCACCGAAGGTTCCCACCACACGGGATATCCTCATCTCTTCCGCGGCGCGCGTCTCTCGTTCCCGCTGGTCCCGCGCATGGACACCTACCAAGGCGGTCCGGGTAACCTTCCCGGTCCGGCGCGGGTGGTGTATTGCGGGGAGGAAGATGGACGGAAGTCTAAATGCGAGGTCTGGTTTCATGATCCCAGGAAGCCGAAACAGAGAGACGGTGATGAGCATCCTTTTACGATGGCGGAGTATAGAGCGGGTAAGGGCAAGTGAGAGTTCGTCTTGAGGTGTGGTGCATGGGTGGGTTGGTAGCCTTGGTGGGTTTGCTTCAAAGTTGGAGTTGGAGATCGGCAATAGATGGGTTTGGATTCCAGTTTAGATTGAAACTCATAGATAGGAATATATTTGCGGTCAAATAGGCGCTCATGTTTCAGATCACAAACAGTTTTGTGGAGAATTCCTCGGTGCACCCTGTAGGTTCCTGTTTTTCCTCCCTGCGCATGTCGGTCATACATAGGGCGGTCTACCTCCCCCAGATTCCACCCAACCAGCTACGGTGGATGCTTCACATCCACAGTTCTTCCGTAGTATAGTGGTCAGTATGTGAGCTTGTCAACTTCCAGTCGATTCGCTCGAGACCCGGGTTCAATTCCCGGCGGGAGAGAGTACCAATATTTTTGTATTCTTTTTGCCCGGCCCTTATCAAGTGATACCAGTTCAAAGATTTATAATTGCCAGCATTGAAAACGAGGTTTATCTCTCCCAACTATCCGCGGTAAAAGTGAAAATTTTTGACCTGATTGCCACCCGAGGCTGTTTATCCTCCAACTTCCATATTGAGGCATTATAACCGCCGTCAACCGACCCCCCATCCGGGCCCCTTGCCCAATAATGTATTTCAGGTTTGGCTAACGGTGAGACAACTCCATCTTGTGGGTTGACTGCGCTGAAAGACCGATCATAGCTTACTTTGTCACTCCATTCCTCCTCGCTCGTGGTGCGATAGCATTTCAGTAAAGCGACCTTTCGGCCCGGCGGATCCCCACGAGAGTTGAGCTCAACCTGGGGTACTTGCTGCGACGGGCGCTAGCAACACTCTTGGTGGTCCGCTTTTTGGCGTTTCACTGGCGATGGGCCGCCATCCGGCGCGTGGCGACTGCCAAGCTAGGAACAAAGGCATTCACCCACATTGGTCTTTGTTTAGATTTCAGGGGCTATTGCGCTAGGGAAGCTTGGACGAGGCCAGGGTGAAATGATAGCTCTGTTTTTCTGCGGAGAAGCGGTCAGTATTGAACGATTGTTTGAGCCGTGTTTGACCTTGATGGAATTGAGAGGCCACTTGGCCATGTAGACATGACCACCTGGTTGGAAGGTAAACGAACGGGCATCACATTGTGGTCTTCACAAACTTAGCCATTGCTCACATGATGCTAACGAAGTCAACTAAGGGCTATCATATTTGCAGAGTCCTCTTGTTGACGAGAGTGGCTTGGAAACAATGGCTTATAATGCTTTGAAACCGAGTAACCGCTTCTTTTGTTTGACCCTTATTTCCGACACAAAGTCGGCCCATCATATTGAATAGAGTTGCGATAGACGCTCAAGCTCTGGGAGTTCAATGTTTGCACGTATTACTAGGATGTTGTGAGAATGGGAAGTATATATCTTCAACTGTTCCCGTCTGCTGTTCAGAGTTTATGACATCCCCATTGCTACCGACATTTCAGTTCTCCGAAGGCTTCTTCGGCAACTCCCGACACTCTCAGCTTGAACCCAAGCACATCCTTTTCCAGCCGCACGACCTCTTATACTTACTTACTGGTCATTACCTATGGATACCCTGTCCTACAGCCCGGCTCTCTGGGGCAGAGTAGTCGACAGCCCGAACATCCGCAGTATGGTTCTTTCACCCGCAGGGTTTCCTGACGACCACTCCGAGCGTGGCTCTTTTCAACTAGACACTGGTCGCAAGTTTGACAGTTTCTTGAAATTCGATACCGGGAGCCCCAATGGTAACACTTTGATTCTTCCTGGTCAAGAGTCTGAACGATATGGATTCAACGAGACGCAATGGCGACCCGAGTCTCACCAACACCACGAGATTCATGGCCCCGGCGGTGCTCAACTAGATGAATCTCCCAGATCCAGAAGCGTGTGGTCATTTGCAGTCGTCTCAGTGGTATGTTGCATCGTGTTTCTGATAAACTCCTACAGCTACCACGTGAATGACTAAGTGCTAACACGTGCCTTAGAAGCTGAAGTCTATCATCAATAATCTCAACAGCGCCGTCAAAGAGGCCGCAGCCGCCGTCGGTTCCAAGAGACACAAAGGTGGCCCAGGAGGAGGCAAAAGCTCCAACAGTGGCGGCCACACCGGTGATGGTGACAAAAGACTCCCCCCTGGAAGGCCCGAGGCCGAAGAAGATGATGGAGAGTGGACAATGGTATCCAACTCTCGAAGCATGACACGACTGAACTCTATCGATTCATATGTAAGAATATCTTTCAACCTTCCATTCAATTACCAACGACTGTCACACCATACTGGACCCTCCGTCTTCTCGACAGCATGGGTCCCCAAGCCATCTCTATCGATCAAAAACACCACTTTATCCCGGCCTTTGAGCCTTTGCTGACCATGAAATACTCCCAGTATTCCTGCGAGGGGCTGCGGTTATTATCCCCGAGCAACGGCCAAGCGAACCCCGATAGCCGCCTCTATCATATCAAGGCAAGCAGAGTAAGGGAGAGCGTTTTGCAAGCCACCGGACAGCACCCTACTCTGCACTCTTTCCGCGGTCGATATCCGCGCCCGTTTTATAACAACGAAGGCTTCACAAGTCTCCTGTCGCAGTCACCACGGCTGGAATACCCCATCATCCATGAGAGCGGCGAACCTAACCCTGGCCCCGTTCGCGTTGTGTACAATCCGAACCAGACACCCAGCAACACTTTCACCCCCGGCCAGCCAAACACGTATGACGTGGTGTACCACGACATCAGGAAGGGCCTAAATCCCAGACGCAACTTCAGCCTAGCAACATACCACAACGGAAGGACTCATGATTTGGCGGCTTAGTTGTCCCGGGAACGTTTGGGACCTTTGGTTTCATGGAACATGGGTTATCACATATGGTGAATTGTTGTTTGGGCTTGGGCATGTTTGCGCGGGGCTAACTTGGAGACGATGTGGAGTTGGGGGTGTTCTGTGCTGAAATATATCATATACTGTGAGATTCCAATCCGCAGTGTAATCCAATTTTTTCCATTCTGGAGCGCTTTGTATAGGTAGATATGCTCCGTTCTGTTTCCTTGAAAATGGTTTGTTTGTCGGATATCAGGATAAACTCGGGCTGGCATTCTGTTTTGCACTGAACAAGGTTCGCAAGCTCATCCTGAGGCGAGTCCTCAAGGGCGGCAAGACGTAGTTTGACTTCAGTCCCACCCAAGGTACGAAGAGGCTTCAGTAGATACCTAGGTAGAATCCCCAGTCAAACCGGGCGGTGCTGCTACTTAACTGCAGTTCAAACCCACCCGCAGGCTGATCCACCACCACATCCTTGTCGGCGCCCTCGCGGATCAACAGGTCAACCATGGAATCCAGGCCATGCTGCTGTGCCGCAGCCATGGCCCACCCGCCAGTTTCGAGAGTATCCAATCTCGCGCCGTGCTCCCGCAGCAGACGGAACATGGGCATGTGCTCCTTCAGAATAGCAATGGCAATGATGGCCGGCTGCTCATGATTCGGGTCAGCGCCTAGATTCAGGAGATTCCTGGCGATGGGAATTCTGCCCTTCCACACGGCGCACCGGAGGAGGCGGGAGAGGTCTTGTTGAGAGAGCTCCACGCCAGTGTTGAGGAGGAGCGTCATCATTTCCTCGCTGCCCACATGCACGGCCCGACAGAGTGCGTGTTGGATGACACGTTGAAAGGCTTCTTTCCCCAGATCGGAGTTATCGTTGGCCGCCACGACTTTACCGAGGCAGTGCCGCGCCAGATCGAACTCGCGGTCGTGGATGCTCATTGCAAGCCGCCGACTGTAATCTCGGCCGGGTTCCGTCCCGTGGCTTAGTCTTCCCAACAAGGACACCGGCCACTCAGGCCCGTGGCTTAGTCTTCCCAACAAGGCCACCAGCCGCTCATAGATATCAGGGCATGGCGTTGACAGTCCGTGCTCGAGAACGAAGATGAGGTCACTCAAAGAATGAAACTCGGCCGCGTTCAATAAGCTATCGACAGCAAAGTCAAACAGATGGCGGTGGCCGTAGCTGGCGGCAAAAGCGAGGAGATAGCAAAGTTCGAACTCGTCAGGGCGTCCTGGTGTGCCGTCTTGTTTCGGTTTCCGTTGGAGGACGAGGTTTGCCATTTCGACGTTGCCAGAACCCACCGCTGCCATAAAGGCGCCGCCAAAGGCGCTCCCCGCTAGATTCTGGACAAATGCAAGACCCTTCTTGGCTACCAGGCGCTCGACATGGGCCATGCGGGAGAGGTATATAGCTGCGACGTCAATGTCATGCTGGAGTTCGCATTCGGTCGGTGCGTGTAGCTTCATGTCGGGTGCTCGGCGCAGGATACTGGGGTGACATAACATGGCCAGGGGGCAGAGGGCCCTGACACATGTTGCGACGGCTTCTTCGGTTGCATTGCCGTCTTCTTCGCAGAGTGCCTGGGCAGCACGGTATATGCGTCCAGCGTGAGACGTGGTGCGGCGTTCCCTCTTGGCTTGATACGCGACGTACGAGACGACGTAGTTGCGCCAGCCCTCGATTGGCCGGTGCAAGCCGCCAACAAAGGCCACGTCAAAATGGTTCAGGAGACGGAGGCGGAAGATGGCGTCGTATGTGTAGTCGCGAAACTGGCCTGCCGATTGTTAGTAGTTCGTGACTCGAGGTCTTGGATAATTGATTTGGCACGTACGGCTGACCAGTCGGAGACGCATGACTCGCGCGAAGCACTGCGCGATAAGGCAAAGGCTTCAAACAGTTGCCCCACAATCTCTGGCGGAAACCGCTGGAAGGGATTCATTATGGCGACGGGACAGTCTTGGCCAAAAGGCGGGTGGGAAGGGTTGATGGTTCAAAAACAGCCTTCAAAAGTCGGCAGCCTTCAAAAGCAGGCGTGGTGGGGTTTTGGGTCGAGGAAATAGAAAAGTTTTCTCAACATGGAGGCAGGCGACAGGTTTTTGTGCGTCGGGTCGATAAAGTTCATGATTGCCGCAGCTCTCGGGCTGTGAGTCAAAAGTGAGTTTTTGGTTCAATTCTAGGTTTGGTGACGTATTGGCAGCGACAAGGTTTGCAAGGCGGCGCACAGTGTAAAAGCAGCTGTCGCTGAGGAAAAGAAGGTCCTGGGGTTTGCCACCGGCCGAGGTCTACCGGTTCACTGGCATGATGAGGGCGGGCTTGCTGAAGGGCACCTCTCTTTGGTTTCCGGTCGGGGTTTCGTCAATGTGATTAACTACTACTATATTAACTATGAATATTAACCTTTACTCTTACCCTATACACACCTTAAACGCTTTGTCAGCAGCCTTCCGTAAGGCCATCTGACGCCCTATATACGATAAGATAGGCCTTTATGTTATCGGATAAGGCGTTTATTATAACACAATAGGCCTCTGTGTCAATACACAGGCCGGTTTGCGGTCTTATAAGGCCGCACTAATAA